AGAATAAATTACACATATTATTCCTTTGGTATTGTTTTGTATAGCATTATTTTTTAAAAAGAATTTATACTTTTTTATTCCAAAGGGAGAACCTTCCATTTACTAGTTCACTCCTCAAATGGCTAGAACAGCCAGGGCTGAGCAGGCAAAGTGGGGAGGCAGGAATGCATCAGGATTTTGCATGTGGGTTGCAGGGGCCGCATCCTTGAGCCGGCATCTGCTGATTTCTCAGGTGCAGGCAGTTGCGCTAGATGCTAGTGAACATGTGCTCCACTTGGAATGCCTTTGTAGAAGATTGTGGCTCAACCCCAGAGCATTTATCTTAATATAGCCCAAATGAATATTTTGAATGGCTTTGTAATTTTCCTATATGGCTACAGAGTCAGACATTCTAGAATTCTCTGTTAAGGCACTAAGATTAGTCTGAGCTCCTTTTTTTTTTTTTTGGTTATTAAATATATTTGCATTGTAAATACCATTTAAAGTTTTCATCAGATTTATGTAAATCTTCATGTAAATGTGTAATTTCCTTGGGGTGCATTCCCTGAACAAAAATGATTGCATCGATAAATATGTTTATTTTGAAAGTTTTGATAGACTTTGCTTAAATGTTTTTATGAAGTTGTAACCAACTGATACTGAAAGCAAGCAGGAATTTGGCCAAGTTCATAAAGCCTGTGGAACACTGATCACTACACTTTTCTAATTTTTTGTTAATTTTATGGTTAAAGAGGTATGACTGAAATTCCACTTGTTTATTAAATGTGCGTGTATATTTGCATAGATTTAGACTCTATCTCACTTATTAGAAAGAGGGAGATACAGATGTTTGATAACTGAACAATTTTGATTCCAGTGCTGCCCTTTGTATCGTGTCCTTGTGATAATCCATTTGCAAATATGCTAACCAGTACGCTGTGATTCCTGTTTTCTGATGTTATTCTGACTGCCTTTGAATGTTGCCATGTGTTCCTGTAAACTGCAATTCCTCATTTTAAAATGTGTGGCATTTTGGAGTTAGTACTGTGGTTTAGTAAGCTAATTTTCCACTTATGGAGCCCTTATCACAATATGGGTGCTTGTATAATTCCTAGCTGCTCCACTTGTGATCCAGCTCCATGATTATGACCTGGAAAAAGAGAGGATGGCCCAAGTCCTTGGGACCCTGCACCCATGTGAAATCTCTGGTAGAAGATTCCAAGTTCAGAACTCTGGTCATTACAAGCTACTTGGAGATAGAACCAGTGAATGAAAAGTTCTCTCTATCTCTCCGTCTCTCTCTCGCTCTCGCTCTCTCTCTCTCTCTCTCTCTCTCTCTCTCTCTCTGCAATTCTGACTGTGAAGTAATATAAATAAATCTTAAAAAAAAAAGAAAGAATGTCCTGTTGACCAGAACTGGACCCTTAGAAAGCTGAAAGCCAGGAGCATCCTCTGGGTCTCCTATACAAGTACAGGAGCCTAGGGACTTGATTCATCCTCTGTAGCTTTAGCAGGCAGTAAGCAAGGGGCTTGATCAGAAGTGGAGTGAGTGAGACATGAACCAGCACATCTATAGGTATATTCACTACAACACTGCTCTGGCCCCAATCATGGTGTCATAATTTTTGATAGTTTGGAAAGCAATTGGTTTTCAAACTAAAAACAAATTTACTACTCTGCTGTTGATAATACCTCCATATTCCTTACAGATTTTCTATAAAAGGTTTATTTGTTTTCATTGGAAAGTTACATTGACATAGGAGTAAGAACAAAAGATCTTCTACGCAATGGATCACTGCCCAAATGGTTGCAATGACTGGAGTTGAGCCAATCTGAAGCCAGGAGCCAGGAACTTCTTCCAAGTCTTTCACATGGGTGCAGGATCATAAAGCTTTTGGCCATCCTGTATTGCTTTCCCAGGTCATTTTTTTTTGCAGGGAGGTGTATGGGAAGTGAATCAGTTGGGGGGATAAAAATGGTGCCCAGATGAGATGCTAGCACTGAAAGGTGGAGGATTAACTAGTTGAGCCATACAGTTTCTTAATTTTATCTTGGTTTTTACTATTCTCCTTTCTGTGGCTAAGACATCCAAAACCACTATTCCCAGGGCATATCAAAGTTTTCCTTACATTTGAACTTGTTATGCTATTTCACTACTCCGAATATTAATATTCCTTCTCATTCTGCATTTCTCGCTAATGAAATACTATGAACTTCTTTCAATTTCCTATTCATCAAGAATTGCCTCATCATCCTAAAATATATAATTGCTCCTTTATCCAAACACATTAAAGCACTGGTTGTGTCAATTTGCGGAAAAATGTGACTTCTTTTCACCAAACTAAATATTTTAAACTCTCCTTTCTTTTCTTTTCTTTCTTTCTTTCTTTTTTTTTTTTTAAATTTTTGAAAGACTGGTTTACAGATAGAAGGAGAGTACAGAGAGAAATATCTTCCATCTTTTGGTTCACTCCCCAAGTGGCTGCAAAGCCAGTAGATTCTTCCTGATCTCTGACATGTGTGCAGGGTCCCATGGCTTTAGGCCATCCTCTACTGCTTTCCCAGGCCACAGGCAGGGAGCTGAATTGAAGCAGAGCAACCAGGACACAAAGCAGCGCATATAGGGGATCCCAGTGTGAGCAAGGGGAGGATTTAGCCACTGCACCATCATGTTAGGCCATTGAACTCCCTTTTATTTATTTATGTTCCCATTATCCCAGATAGGGCGCAGAGCCTGTGAAATGTCTGTTAGATTAATCCCTTGAGTAACTCACTTAGATATTTTGATTATAATGGCTCCTTAGTGAGTAGATGTAGTAGTAGTGAGTACATGTTAAAGGAATTCAAAGGATTTTTGAACATTTAATTCTAGTTGTTTATAAAGAAAGAACTAGGGACACCCTCATTCCTGGGTTCCAATCCTGGATCATCTTCCAATCCCACTAATATGCACTTGGAAGCAGCAGGTGATTTTTTCAGGTACTTGTTTTTACCTACTTGCACATAACTTTAGATGCGGATAGAAGCAATATGGGCTGAAAAGTTAAATAGTTTGTTGACACAAGTGAAAACTTATTGTGACTGATTTATGTTGGCTTTTGATTCAATTTTGCATTATAATTTTTTTGCAATTTTTTGGCATTGATTTGGACAGTTGAGGAAATGTTTGTCTAATTTATGCTTATATTTTACTTGAGGCCAAACATATGAATGTACATGCCTGTCTATAAAATAGCAGTGAGTAGATACGGGATTAATCCATTTGGATTAAAAAATTCAAAATGGGCATATAGATATTATACAGCTTATAGAGTGCAGTACTATGTGTTGTTTTGATACACAGGCACATGTTAAAAAACTTTAATCAAGGGAATCATAGTTATTTCCTTCAAAGTTTACCATTCATTTGTGATAAGAATTTTCAAAATCATTTCTTACACCATTCTAACAATACATATAATATGTCATTATCTATGTATATATGTTAATATGTAACATTATTGTCTATATAGAAATCAAAATTTACTTTTAATTTGAATATATGACCTACTAATCATTGCTTCCCCATCAAATAGTTCCCCCAGTTCATTTGATTTTTTAAGGATATGTTTATTCATTTGAAAGGCAGAATCATGCACACATATACACATAGAGAAAGAGAGAGAATCTTTATGAAGGCCTGCATTAGGCAAGACTGAACTAAGCAAAAGGCTTTGAGCCTGGTACTTAGTCTGGGACACATGAGTGGCAGGGACCTAACTCCTTGGGCCACCATCTCCTGTCTTCCAGGGTATGCATAAACTAGAAGCTCGGTCAGAGGAAGAGCAACCAAGACTCAAAGCAGACACACTAATGTGGGATATGGTGTTTCAAACAGTGACTTGACTGCTGTACCAAGTTCCACCCTTTAAAATGGTTCTTTTTATGTTAGTTAAACTACTACTGTTCAGTTTATATCTCATGGCTGCCTTGGCCTCCTGCCGGTTCTTGGTTTTGACTTTGTAGTCTGTCTTTCAAATATTTTTTTTGATTGACAAAAACATGTATTTGTTTATTTATCATAGACAACATGATTTTTGAAATGTGTATACTTTGTGGAATGGCTAAATCAAACTAATTAGCAAATGCAGCACCTACATGGCTAGTTTGATAGTGAAAACACTTGAAATTTCTTTGCTTAGTAATCATTAAAAGCAAATGCTTTGTTAACTAGGTCAAGCAACAGGTGTTCTGGACTTTATTCTTTCTAGCTGGCTAAAATTTTGTGTCCTATCACCAACAGTTCTGCAACCCCATTCTCTCCTCCCAGCCCTTGGTAATCACCATTGTGATAATTATCTCTGTGCAGGACTTTAAAAAATATCTCTAAAGTCTAGGAACTGAAGTGGCACCCTACTTTACCAGATGCAGTATAATGTCTGTGAATATTTTTAAATATACTTGAAGAATGTTACAAATCACTATCTATATGGTATATTGCTGCTTTGTTTTACTTTTGTTAGGGAAATACATGACCCATTTCCCACAGAGAGATTAAGATCTTTACATAAACACCAGCAAAAAAATTTGATTAGGAGGCTTAAGTTTTCTTTCCTGGGACACAAGAATTCAATCTCTTTGTATACTTCTTTGATTACTAATGAGCTATTTTAACTGACATGTTTGTATAAATTTTCATGGAAAAGGAAATGTGATCTTTTATTTTTGTGTCTTGTCTAATGAAAGCCAAACTCTTAGATGAGCTTCCTTGGGAATTTGAGTTAGGAAAATGTGTTATGAAAGATGGAGTTCTTATGTGAACAAGGAAAAGAAATTAACTTTAGTGCTCATCTTAGTGGTCTGCCAAATTGGAAGACCATTGTACTTCTGATGATCATGTTCTAATCAGCCTCCAGAGGACATTCATGGACACTGGAGTGCTCATTAATCCATCTTCTTTGTGTAATATTGATTTGTTCATTACTCTTTCAGACTCAAATATAGAAACCAAACATTGATATGTGGTGTTAATGTGCTTACAGATGTTGCCACAACTTATCCAGATAAGAAGTCCATCTTAATGTACATCACATCACTTTTCCAAGTTCTGCCCCAACAAATCAGCATTGAAGCCATCCAGGAAGTAGAGATGTTGCCAAGGCCATCAAAAGTGACTAGAGAAGAACATTTCCAATTACATCATGAAATGCACTATTCCCAACAGGTAAAGTATTGAAAGGACAACAAATATTAACACCGTTTTCTATTTTATATGTATTTTAGGCATCACAGATACATACCTCTTCATATCATATATATATGTGTGTGTATGTGTGTGTGTGTATACACAAATTAGTGCATGGGCATACAGAGAGAAAAAAGAACACTAAACCTGGTAAATTTAATGTGGTAAGGACTATAGTTTTCTTTTCAAAGTACATGGTTAAAATATCCTACTGGCAATGTACCCCATATTCTTGGAGTGTAGAACACAGAATATATTGCATTTCTATCCTATAAAATAAAGTGAAAGAAAGTTATATAAATGTTGATTTTGATACTGCCACCAAAAAAGCCAAGTGCAAAAAGCCAGAGAAAGAACAAAGACTCATACAGTATTTAATTATATTTTTACAATTTTGGGTGTCTGTTGATGTACTAACAAATTTTGATTAATTAAAATAACATTTTTGAATTGATGCAAGTGTTTTAGAATAATTCAAATATATATAAACGGAGAATGTTTCTGATAAAATTATATTTGGTATCAGTATTTAGAATTCAGTGGGATTCTTCATTTGCATAGTCTTGTTCTTTCAAGCATTTTGGGTTTTTCTTGCACTTTCTCAGACATGAGCAGTAATAATAATAATAATAATAATAATAATAAAAAGCCTTTAGCAAAATTTCTGCCCAGGGTGTGGAAAGCTCTGCTAGGCCTAATTTTCACACTCTATTGAGCTAGTTCTATATTTAGCTCAAGAAAACTTGAGTCCTTTCCATGGTATTGATCTGATGAATTCTGGTTTTGTTTACCTTGAATTCAGAGAAAACTGCTTTAGGCTCCCTGTTTTGGGCAGACTGAAGAGGACAGTTCCTTGTAAGGGCTAGAGTTGTGTCAGCATGGCTAAAGCCCAAGGTCATATCCTCCAGTTTAACCTGCCTGACAAGACCTTGAGCACCACAATTCTTGGAGTGTTCATTTGTCTGATATCATTCATATGTATTTTGGATTAAATGTTTCATTTCCTCATTTCCATTAATGCTCTCTTGTGTGTTGGAAAGTAGTCCTGTCGGGTTACTTACCATGTCTCCTTCCACCCTCTGTCCTTCCCCACACACCCCAAACCCTTCTCTGCAGATCACAGTCAGTCTAGCACAGGGCTATGAGCGAACTTCTTCTCCCAAGCCTCGATTCAAGAGCTATGCCTACACACAGGCTGCTTATGTCAGCACCTCTGACCCCACCCGGAGCCCATTTCCTTCTCAGGTCTGTCAACATTTACTCTCTTCTTCAAATCAGAAAACTCCTTTCAAGAGAACCTAACATTGCTTTTACTTGTTTGAGTTCTTCAGTGCCTTTTCTCTCTGGCATTAAGAGCCGTTTTATTTTTCACAGTTTTATTGCATGGTCTGACATGACAGTGTTTTACTGTTTGAACTTCTCTACATTTAATACATGTTGATTTTTATGGATGGGATCCATGTAATAGGGATTTGTACTTTCAATATGAAAAGTCCTTTTACAAAGGCGGCAGATAGTTATAATAATACATAGCCCATAAATATGTGTAATTTGAAAGTATGGACAAATATATGGAAATTACTAACTGCACTACTTGGAGAGACTTATTTATATCTAATATACAAAGAAGAGATTTACAGTAATTGATTCCTTTTACTGTATTTCCATTCTACAAAATATGTCTTATTAGACCCCTTAATTTTAATAATTTAAATTTGCATATCATTTGGTCTGTTGTGTTGGTAAGAAAAGCCTATACCAAAATCATAATATATGTAGTATTGAATATTTTGTATGTAATGAATTTTCTCAGTATACTTTTCTACCCTTGTAATATTGTAGGAAACCTAAAAATATAAGAAATTATTTAGGACATGGAAACAGAATGTCCTAGAATTGCTAATTTGTAAGGATTTCTTGTTTAAGAGAAAGCTTTATTTAGCTCAGTGTAGCAATTTGAAAGTTCTGTAGCTTTTCTGAAATCGATCCTATGTGAATAGTAGCTTAGAAATTGTATGCCTGATTCTGTTAGTAAACTTAGTGTGAATTTTGGGGACTCATTTTTTTTTCAATCAGTGGTATGCATTTAATTAATAATTTTTGTGGCATTTAATTGATATATGAGGCTAAAAATTCTTTGGCAGAATTCCCCCAAGGAAACATTCATTTGGGGGCATAGATATATTCTCTGTCTTTGATTAGTTTTCTTGCAACTTTGGATAGGGGACACTTGGTGAGCAAGTTTGTGTGACTCAGATTCTTCTTTTATTATGAAAAATTTCACAAAGGTTTATCTATCTATCTATCTATCATCTATCTATTACGAAGAGTGAAACCTCTCATCTGCTGGTTCACTCTCCAAATGCCTACATTAGCCAAGAGTTGGAAAGTCTATCCAAGTCTCCCATGTAGTGACAGGTACCCAATTCTGTGAGTCATCACTACCTCCCTCCAGGTGTGCTTTAGCAGGAAGCTCGCGTCAGGTGCTGGTGCTGGGACTAACACAGACATTCTAGTGTGAGTTATGTAGCACATAAAATAAAATTTCAACCGCTAGACCAAATGTTGACCTCTAGTTTAGGTTTCTTGTTCAAGTTTCTAAATAATGTCTTCACTGTTATTAAATGCTGATGAATGTGTTACACATGTGCAAACACATGAAATAATGTATTGCTTGTAATATTTCCTAGGAATGATAAGTGTTATTTTTATTCATGTTGGGTGTGTAACTTTATCCAGTCTTTGCTCTCTATCCCAATTTTCTTGCTTCTCCTGGAATGACTCTCCCTCAACTGTTTCCTGACTCTCCAGATTCTTTTTATTGGCATCACTTATGTCTAAGGCTTAAGCAATAGACGTCATATCCAAAAATACAGTAGCATAAGCCAAGAAAAAGATGTAAGGATTTTTTTCCCTCCTCATTATCAGTTTTCTTGAACTGCTGTTTTTTAGAAGGTTTTTCCACTGCCTGTTATCTATTGTTATCTATTGCACTTTAGATCTGAGAAGCTAGGAACATTTTCACCTCATTACTGCCTCATTAAGGCTTTGCTCAGGTATGACTCCTTAATAACGTAATTTCAAATGGACTTCAATTTTTGTAGACTCTGTACATTTTACTTGTGTCTAAATATTACCGAATGCGTAGTATGTTGTGAAACATTCAGTAAATTCACTTATCTTTTTATTTAGCCTAAGTCACTGAAATAAAACACAATGTTTACTTTTTGAAAAATATGAAGTATAAATCACTCTCGTTTTTCCAGGTACAACAGTAAGGAGCCGGAGTTGAGGTGGAACAGCCAGAGTTGGACCAGCACTTTGATATTGGATGCTGGTATCACAAACAGTGACTTCTCACAAACATTATACCACAAAGCCATTCCTATCAGCATTCGTTTATTAAATAAATGAGTAGTCTTAGCCAGTGAACCCAATGGCTTTTATTCAATCCTCATGGTTTTATACCTTTCCTGAGACACTTTTTCTCAGTGTCTCTAAATCTAGTAAGTTCTTCTCTGAATATTTGGTATTATCTGGCTCTTTTTTTCTCTCCCCACAGCTGTCAACATTAGATCCCATGGGAAATACAGTGTCTTGATTCTCTTATCTCTTTCCCCAGTGCCTTGTCTGCATGATTTAATCTCCTAGCTTCAGTCTTATGTAAATGACTATTGCATCTATAGGTGTGTCTTCTTCACTTCCAGTATCTCTTCAATGACAGTCACATTCCCGACTCATTTTCAACTCCTTGGTATTTATTTATATCTTAATGTGCACTGTTGTTTCAAACCAGCTATGTTTCCAAGTGAATTTTGTTGCTTGGCTCACCAACCTGTTTCTTGTCCTTTTTGTTATGTAAATGAGAACATGACTCCCAGTAAGCCAGTCACTGAGGCTTACATGTGAGTCATAATCTTTCTTCTCTATACTGATTTGATATTCAATAATGAGACATATTCAGCCAGTCCCTTTTTTTTTTTGCAACATTTCTCCATTGAAATATGTCCCTTCAAATTTCATAGATGCCACCCTGGGTCAGGCCTTCAATACATGTCTTCCAGACTACAGAAACAGCTTTTCAACTGATAATATCATACTTGGTTTAATTCTCTTTGAACCTGATGCACGTTCTTATTCATAACCCTGATGATAGCATTCACCAACTTTCCTCACTCTCCAAAATTTCATCAAAAACTTTGGAATTCATTAATGATTTATATTTGTAAGCTTATTGTATCCTTGTTTATTTCATATTTCTTTAACCAAAGTCAGTCAATTGCTCTGTTTTTGTGTCAAAAAGTGTCTCATGTCAGCTTTTATGCTTCCCTCATCCTACCATATCCTTTTGCCTCTTTTCAAACTGGGCAATTTAATCCATATCAAACCCTTGTACATAAGTGGCAGAGTCCAGATTCCAGTTGAGATTTATCTCATTCTAAGCCCATGCTATCCATGCTAGGATAATTGCATTTTCTCTTCTATGAGAGTTTTTATATGTGTGCGTACTCACATCTATAGTATATACATTCATTCAATTACTTTGCACTTATTTACCTATCATCTACTAAATGACAGTTACTATTATAGGATTAAATCATTCATTGGCCAGCAATTATATAACATAGTGTTTGACATTATAGAGGGTATTTGTTTATGGCTTAGTCATAAAATTACAAAAAAAAAAAAAGAAGCCTAGATGAACAGTATAAATAATTAAGATAACATGCCAAAAAGTATGTATATAATATGTGTTAAGTAAAGACTGTTTTAAGAAAACACGCTTTAAGTAAGGGTAGGAAAATATCTCTCTGAACAGGTAACACACGTTGCAAAAGTCCTCAATTGTAAGGATACTTGAAGGTTTGAATGATGGGCCCAGTGAACAGACCCTTTAAGAAAGAATCAGATAACACAGACCTCTAAATAATGGTGGGGACTTGGGCATTTATTGACTGGTAAGGTGGGAAGCTATTGGAAGACGTGACATGAATTTACACCTTCATATAGTTGTTTTGTGGAGCGTGACTGAAGGGAGCATGGTAGTGACTATTAGCATTAATGCAATTGTGACATACGCTAATGGCTTGCATCTGGATTACTTCAGTGAGCATGATCCATAGCAACTGAATTATACAAATGATTTTAAGAACATCATAACTACATAATTTGCTCATGTAATGTGGAACATGGGTTTGCTATATTATTTAGGGTTATTTATTTAAGTACAGTGCAGAAAGCAAAAGCAGCAAAACTAAAACTTCTACAAGGCATTAAGCATGAAGTCATAGATAAACTTGTACCTCGGGAGATATTTGTGAATATCTGTGTTAAATTTGTCTAATGAGTAGGAAAATAGCTTGTGAGACATAGGCAGAAGTCATAATATGTGATAAACATGCCTGTGAGACTTGAATATAAATACCAACAAGGAGATCTAAGATCAGAGTTAAAGATAAGTTATTTCGAAGCCATCAACTCATATACAAACATTGTAATTCCTTGGCTTATTAATATCACCCAGAAAAATAAGCAGACACAGATGTATGAAAGAACTATTGATTGATGTATGATAAGGTATCAGCAAGGATGCTGATAAAGGGAGCATGGAAAAGGAGCGGAAAGGCAGGGGAGTACAGTACCCTGGAGTTCAGGAGAGCAGGATGTCTAATTATATTAAGTATTGCTCATTAGTTCAAATAGAATGGGCATTAAAAATTAACCAGCAAATTTAGCCCAACATCAATAGGGTAGAATCCCTAGGAAATCCTGATGCATAACATTATTAAGGTGCAATTACTAATAGCTCAATTATTTAATCTTAGCACCTTTTTAATTATCAGTAAGGTATATACTCTGGCTTATATTCTCTTTTTAGGTTTTGTTTTTTTCTGTATTTTATTGTTATTGTTTTCCATGATACAATTTTATATATATAGGGATTCTCCCTTCCTCTCTGTTTCCTCCCTCCTCATCTACCCCCGCAAACCATTTTCCTCTCTATTAATAAAATAGTACAGTCTTTCAGCAACAGTCACAAGTCAAACATTTTGCTTTTTAAGTGTATCATGCTGTTGTAGGTATAGACAATTTGGGAAATTTAATATTCTATTGTAAAGGTCAGATGTGTGTATTTCTATAAGTTTGGAGGGGTTGTTGATTGATTTAAAAAGAATAAAAGTGAGATGCTATGTGTATTAAAACATTTAAAAGCAATTTCACTGAATGATTGGTGTCCACATGGA